CCCTTCCGGCTTCATTTGTTGAACAATCATTTGGTACGAGTTCAAACATGTCGAAGCGTCAAAAGCGTCGTGGCACTCGTGGTAGTTCTGTTCTTTCTGCTGTTCTGGAAAAACAACAGGAAAAGAAGCGAATTGGACATACCGAAGCTGTGACGGCACTTATTGTGGATGGTAACTTTGTCTTTTCAGGCGGTGAGGATGGACGTGTTTTTTTGTGGGATCTTCGTATTGGTCTTCTCTTACGGGAATATTTCTTGTTGCATGATGTAGACGAGATTGCACATCATTGTAGAAAGACGATGCCAGCCTCAACCGACTGTAGCTCTATGTGCAGCAAGGAAAACAATCCCCGTTCTATAGTACATATGCATTCTTTGCATTCATTGGATGTAAAACCGTATTCGGAAAATGTTACTTGTATGGTATTACTTAGGCGACGAAACGGTAACTTCCTTGTTGCCACGCGCGAGGGTTGGGTCTATCACTTTGAGCAGAGCAACTCATATCCTCGCTCCACATATAAGCATAATTCTTCTGTGAGGTGTATGTGTGTTTTTCAAGATGGATGCACAGATGATGATGCTGTAGGTGACAATGACCTTGCTGATGAGGGTGACGTTTGTTCAGGGATATCCCGTGCGTTTGAGGTAGTGGTTGGGGATGATGAGGGGAAAATGGCTCTTATAAGAGAGTCATACTTCTTTTCTACCGTGTGATTACAGCATTCAAACAATAGCAATCACGAAGATGAAGATGAAAAGCTGGAACACTTTGTCATTGGCTGGCGGAATAGAGTGTCCATCGTCTTATCTATTTGAATGCGAGGTGGTACATTACCCTGTTTTCTTCTCTCTCTCTCTCTCTATATATATATATATATATATAATTACATGTATATTGTATAGTTTTATTTTATTTCCTTTTTCTCTCAATGTTCTCGTTTTTGCGTTTGTTTTCCTTCTTTTTCTTTTATTCCTGTGAGGTGGAGGATGTTTTCTGTGCTTTTGTGGCGTTGACAAGAGATTTTAACCCCTCTTTTTTTCTTTTTCCTTTTTTTTTCTAATTATTGGTTGCTGTTAGTCGTTATCTTTTCTCACTTAATGACCCACGTCAAGATCCTCAAAAGTCTGCATAATTGGAGCGAGGAAGGGGGTTTGGGCTGTTGGCACCTTCACCCAGTCGACAGGACACAAATTTTTTATTTATGTTTTGTGCCTCTCTTTTACTTTTCTGATTTTTGAAAGTGAATTTTTTGGAACCCGTTTGAGAGAATGTGGCGGGGATGAAGCGCCCTGCAGCGCCTTAAAAGGATGTGGATATGCATGAGTGTCGTGTGGGGTTTTGCATCCCTGTTTCATCATTCCGGGTCCGTAATCTTATGCTCTTGCTGTGGAATTATTTGCAGGACGAATACAACTTCGTTCGGCTTTTGAATTCCTCCTTTTTTTTTTTTCTTTCTTTTTTGTTGGTGCATGTTGTTTATTTCACTACCGGTGTGGGTTTTTTCCTTTTGTGGTTGTGTTGCATCTGGTGAGGCTTTGCTTTTTGCCATTCTTCTTTTTTGTTGTTTTTGTAGTTGTTGCTTTGATTTATGGATCCTCCTTGAACTTCTAGCGGTGACGGCCTCAATGGCAGGAGGTTTGCACGTACGACGACGTTTGGGTTTGCAGGTCCTTTTTTTTTTTCCGGCTTTGTAATGGCGTGCTTTTTCTCAGGAGTGTTGCTTGCGGATGAGGCGGAATTAAAAGCGATGGCGGGGGCCGAAATGGAGACAGAGTCCCGGCGATGGATGGACACGTACATGGAGACGGCCTCCGCCATCACAACGGAACTGACACCAGCCCCCCAGCAACAGCGATGAAAACACGGAAGAAAAACGCGACTTCTGTGAAGTGATGGTGAAGCGGATGTGGGGGGAGGTAATTTTGCTTCAGTACAATCCTGCCTTTAAGAGGGCGCTGCCATCGCATCGTCGTCGACACAGGGAGGTAACTTTGGGGAAACCCAAGGCAAATCAAAAGTACATTGTTTGCTTTTTTAGTGTCGGATTTGGGAACCGTGTTCAGGCACTTGCCAGCGTCTTAATTGCGGCGTCGCTGTCGGGACGTGTGTTTCTCATGGAGGACTGGTCCACTCCGCTGAGGTCATTCACAGCGGCGTTCCTCTAGCCAACACTGTTCCCTTTTGTCGAGCATGGGAATGCATCTGATGAAGCTTTTCGTGTGGAGAATGAATTTATGTTTTGAAGCTTATTTCCGGTCATGTCACTTAGCCAACTTTGAGAAACTTTACCACGATGGGTTTAGAAGGCCGAACAGTTCAAAAGGGGTGGCTCTCTTTAAAGATGGTGGTGCGAAAATTATTATCCGTATGAGTCGTGACAAAAAGCTAAGACTTTGGAAGCACTTTGCATGTGGGGACTCTTCTGAAAGCCGTGAGGTTGATTTTTTCTCTGGACAGAAATTCATCTACATCTGGAGCAGTCAATACTTTCTTCCACTCCATTTGCGTCAAGAAGCACATAAGGCCTGTTGTGAAGGCGTGGTTCACCAGGGATCCATTTTTCTCATTGTTGCCGTTGATATTTCTTTCATCAATGCCTGTAATGTATCGCGTTTTGCGTTCCATACAGTTGAACACCTTGTTGAAAAGAAATCACTATGTGGGAATGCATATTCGTCCATTTATGCGGCATAAAACATATCGCTTTGCTAAATCGTTTTTTAATTGCGTGGACAAATGCGTTAAAAAGTCACCTTCGCCTCCTGCCCTCTTCTTGACCACCGTGTATCGTGAAGTAAATGATTATTTGGGTGCGTGCCTGCTCCAAGGTGGGGACCGTGTTGTTTCCTTGAGCTCCGACCAAATAGGGGCGGAGCAGAGCACCGGAAAGGGCTCCGTTCCAGAGTGGGAGGCTTTGGCAGATGTGGTTATGCTGTCATTGTCGAAACATCTTTTTTTTTTAATCTACAGACTCGACTTTTGGATTTCATGCCGCGGCGGCTGGAGAAGTTGAATCCATCACGTTTGTGAAGGGGCGACAGTCGTTTTTTGCGGTAGGTCGAAAAACGCGCGTTGCGTCCAGTTGAACTCAAATGCAGTGGTGGAACCGTGGTTCGCATCGTGGTTTAGACTGGAGTCCATCCGGAAACGCCGTCACGAGATGGGGTGCGAGATGAGTGACTTACCTTCCTGGTTACTTTATTCCGGCGCAAATATTTGATGCCCCTAAAGACAGTATTCGCACTGTCGTGGTGGCAGGCGGCTCTGGTAGGAACCGACCCGCTAGAAAAGGTGCTCTCCGCCGCTGCCCTGTGCCTGGGGATTTCACTCTTCATGTTCACCTCTACCCACCAGGCACTCCCTGTTGTTGTCCAACAGAGGCGTCTTATGCATTTGAACATTTTTTCTTTTTCATCTTGTTGTGGGGCAACGGTGGCTGTAATTAGAAGTACAGCGACATATATGTATATGTGTTGTGCACCTGGTGACACTTCCCATTTATGTACTTTTTTCTCCCTCTCCCTGAGAGACCTTTTTTGGCGTGACGCATGGGTTTTTTTTTGTTTTTTTTTTTTCCTATCGCCGTGCTCTTTTGTAAGGCAAAGTGGAGTTGGCATTTGTGATGTGCGAGGGAGTCACGTCTGACGAAGCGCTGCATCGCTTCGATTTGCTTCGGCAACATCTTTTTGAGGAAGATGATACCTGGTACGCCATGCGAGCGGAGGAAAACCGGCTGCTGTATGGAGACACAGTTGGGAGAAAACCCAAAGCTACCGCGAGCATCCCACAGAGAAGATATTTCAACTGCTTTTATGATTCATTCAAGCAACGTGACGACAAATTTAATCTCAATATTCTCAGGGAGGTGCTGCAAAAGGAATGGGCAGAGCGCGAGAAGTTGAATGAGTACGAAGAAGAGGAATTTTATGCTATTTGTCGCTGTGCGGGCAATGCACTGGGTGTTACTGCGTGGAGTCGTCGTTATCGCACTTCGCTACCGTTGGTGGAGGCGGAGGAATTTGGGCGGAGAATGATAGTAACTGAATTTTTCGCCATGCTTTTGGAGGCTGTGTTTATCTTGGAGGGTCTTCATCGCCGAACGATTTCATTTTTGAGGGAACCCCTTGCACGTAAGGCCATTGAAGGAGATGAGGTACATAAATGGGTAGAAAGTCGACGATGTCAGGTGGAGCGAGAGCGGCGAGAGGAGTCCATGTTTGAAGCAGAGGAGCGTCAGCGTGAATTGGCCTACCACAATTGGAAGAGGCAACAGGCATACCAGGTGTACTTGTTTGAGAAGAGTGAGGAGGAGGAGCGAATGGATGTAGAAAGGCTTCAGCGTTTTTACGTTGGCATTATTTCGCAGATATTCCGCAAAGAACATATGGAGGCGCAATATCATCAATTGCGGTATCAAATGAGAAAGCGCCTACTTTCTGCGGAATTGTCACGGCATATCATTGGGAATGAGGCTACAGAACGGTCTAACATTATGGTCTTGCAGCACGAACAATTCTGTACTTTGCAGGCAGAGGAGGTAAAGAGTTTTCTCTGGACGAGACGGAATGCGATGTTGAATGAGCTAGTGGATCGGGAGCGTGGCGGCGAAGGATGTGTCTATGCGTACATGTAAACTACGAAGAGGAAAAAAAAAAAAAAAACAGGCCGACAGAAGGAGACAAAAGGAAAGTTTGCTGGATGAAAAAAAATTTGGGGAATTGAAAAGAAAAGCATGAAGGATTTGAATCTTTGCTTGGAAAATAGACGAAAGACATGAAGAGAAAAACAACGGCATCGGGATGCATCACAAGTTTTGGCTATAATAATAATAATAATTGTTGGATTATTTGCCTGTTTCCACATCTTCATCTTACAGATTTGTTTTGTTGTTGTTGTTGGTTTTGTTGTTATAGCTCTTGAAGTGTCAGGAATTTAGCACTTCACATTTTACTTGCCCCATTTTTTTCTGCGTGTTTGGACTGCTGAATGCCGAGGAAATGACGGCGGCACCCCAGTTAACTTCCTCATTGGATGTGCTACGCCCTCAGCTAAAAGGTGTTCGCGCTGAGCATGGCGCCTTGGTGTCCCTTCGCGATGCTCCGGCATTTGAAATGGTGATGCGACTCAACCAGCGATACAAGGGGAAATTGGTCACCGCCATCATGACGCAGAGCAGCGCCCACGATGCATCCAAATCCGATGATGACGTTCAGCGTAATTTGAATGAGGCGAATTGCAGCACGATGAACTTCGTTCGTGCCTCGGAGGAAAAACGTTTAGTTTTTGTGCCCGAAGCATATGAGGCGTTTCTCGGAAATGAAATGCAGAAGTGGCTGGATCCCTTTTATGGTCGCAATGAGGCTAACAAGTCTAAGCGATCTCGCGCTGAAAGGGACATGTTGAGTAGTGATGACGAGGAATTTACGGGTGACGGAATGGAGGACGACGAATACTCCTCCTTCTCTGAATAACACCCCGCCCCAAATAAGGTTTTTTTTTGTTCTTTTTTTGTCGTTGGGGCGATATCCATTGGACCGCCTCCAGTTTTTGTTGTCGTTATTTCTATGCATCCGCATATCCGAATTGTTTTTTTTGTTTATTCATTCTTTCCGTTTTTTTTTTTTTTTTGCAGCTCTGCACATTGGAAGGAAGGAGGGAGAAGGGGCGCCATTATTTATATATAATTTGGCCTTCTGCCGTGGGTACAGAGGCGGCTAATTGGAGTTATAACATTAAACAACGATAAGCGAGGAGGATCCGTGCCGCCTGCCGATGGTGGTCCAGCGCGATCGTTCCCACGAACTCTACAGTTTGTTTGAGGGCATGAAGGGTGTAGGTGGAGCGAGCATTCAAGAGACGTCATCTGCGGCTTTTTTGGCGGCTGAATGGAATACGCCGCGACCGCCACACTCGGGTTTACATTCCAGCAGCGAAGTGCAGCTTTTTAATCGATTTGCCCAGGCGTTTTCAATGGATCTTGCTAAGGTGTCGGAGTCAATAATGCGACTGACGAAACTCACCCAACGGCAAAGTGTGTTTGAGGACCAGTCATCAGAAATAACGGGGCTCACACAAGTGGTCAAATCGTCATTGCAGAGGCTTCAAACGGATTTGGAAACACTGGAGGAGCTCAAGCAGCGGGCGCTTGTTGCACAGAAAACAGCGGCATCCAAAAGAAACGGTGGGACATCCGCTGAGTCCCATAGTCTGTGGAATTCGGGTGGAGGCGCAGATTCTGTTGTCAGAACTTCTGCAAAGCATAGTGACACGGTTGTGGATACTTTGCGAACACGACTTGCCCGTACCGGACAGGAGTTTCGGACCACGCTGCAGCAACAAACGCGGGCGATGAAGGACAATGCACAGCGCCGCAATATGTTTACGACGAGTGAACGTATGCAGACATTTGAAAGTGCGTTGTTTCAGGATCAGGAGCGGCATCAACTTCAACGACAGCAACTGATGTCAGGGACTAGTAATGCGCAGTACTACAAACAGCGTGCCGAGGCAGTTCGGGAACTTGAGGCCACTGTTGTGGAGGTGGGTGAACTATTCAATGACTTTGCACGACTTGTGCACGAGCAGGACGAGGTTGTTCTCCGAATAGACACAGACGTGGACAATGCGCTGCGACACGTGAACGCTGGAAGTAACGAGTTGATGCGATACTTGGCAAACTTAAGCTCAAACCGTGGCTTGATATTAAAGATCTTTGGTATCCTATTCTTTTTTTTGCTGTTTTTCGGTCTGGTCATTGTGCGTTAGACCTCACCGAGGATTATGGATAGAAAGGGTGGGATGGAGGGAAAGTGAGGGAAGGAGAGAGAGAGACTAAAGAGGAGGAGGGGAGAAAAACGAGGGAAGGGAGATGTGGAGTTCGATCATCTGCCCCTTTTGTTTTGTTGTGCAAAACTCTCCTCTTGTTCGACTCTTTTTGTGTGCATTCAGGCGAGTCAGGGGTGTGTGGGGGGGGGGGGGGGGGTAAAGGAATAAGCAGGCAAGCCGTGCGGTGCGGTGTTTGTCTGCGCGTGGAAGCGAGTAATGGCTGTGGACATCTCCTTATTTATCCTCACTCTACCAAACACGAGGCATTTGGGTGAAGAGGCAAGTGGAGTGAAAAAAAGTAAAAAAAACAAACAAACAGAAAGTTGGTAAAACTTTTGTGTGTTTTTGCCTTTTTTTCCCTTTTTACTTTATCTTCTTTTGCCTCTCTGATTCTGTGGACCCGCAGCACCCTCTTTCTCTCAGACTCTATTTTTCTGTCTATTTGTTGGGGATCTGTATGCATCAACTTCTCCTCATTTATTCTCTTTACCATTGATACCCTGCAGCGCGGAGCAGTGAGGGGCTGAGTCCTGTAGTTGTGGTGGGCTCCCTCCGGCCTTCCCCTTTTTTTGTTGTTGTTTTGTGTTTATTTCTGCGTGCGCGTTGTTGCAGTGGCCGGCTGTGTGGCGTGAGAGACAAATTGAAGAGCACCGAAAGTGACGGGATTCTTCACTGCGTGTCGTGCTTTTTGTTTACGTCGAGTTGGAGGGGGCGAGAGGCGAGCACGCAGAGGTGGTGCAGTTCCGCAGTTATTGAAGGGGAATATTGCAACTTCAATTCGACGGTTGAGACAAGGGCGGAGAGAGGGAGGGGGCCGCGGCGGTAGCGAACAGGAAAAAAAAAGAAAAGAAGGAAGAGAGCCGAAAGGAAAATGATTCACCCAAAGTTGTTGGCTTCACAAGAACTTTCACTCCGACGCATTACTGTGCAGCAACAGGGCTTCACACCTCCGTTTGCGGGCAATGACGCGAATAATATGAGTGCGCCCATCAATAGTGCCAACGCAAGTGTGTGTAGTGCTTCCGTTCCCCGACAATCGTCAGTTCGCAGTGAGTTGACATCGCCATCGACTTTCAACAGCACAGGGTCGAATTTTTCCTCGATTCCTCTCAACAAAACCGTTTCCTCGTCCTTGGATCCAATTACAGCGGGCGGCACGAATAGCACAGCACCGGCTTCTATTGCGCTTCCGAAGATACGCGTGCGCCCGGAATGGGAGTCTGCTCTTGCGAATGCAAACCCATTTGTGTTTTCGGGGCAAAAGCTGCATGGTTCTCAACTGTCTACGCGACGTCGTGTAACGGTTCGGTATGTTGCGGATCAATATGATCGCCAGTGGATTGCACAAAGAGAGACACCATCGAATTCAGTGGCAACAAAAGGCAAGACTGGAAGTATAGACTGCTCAACGACTCCTTCGATATCTTTCTTGTCTTCATCGTCGTCATCATCATTGCGTCACAAAATTTCACTTTCTCTTCTAGAGGAACTTATAACCGCATTTGAAGTGGGCTCCTACGGCAATCCTGAGATTCCTGTGCAACGACAGCCGGTTTCAAGTTTTAATAGTGTCTTGGCAACTGGGGCAGATGCATCAGTGGTGGAAGAGGTGCGTCAATACTGGTTAGGAAAACGGCAAGCCTTGGGTGGTAATATACCATGTATTCCATCTCTCCATATTAATGTTCAAGAAGATAATCAGGTGTCTTTGTGTCACAACGATATTCTTCAGCTTTGTCCCCTTCCCTTTAATCATAGAGACTGGTCAATTGCAGTCTTGCAACGCCGTATTCCAAATGTTTCTGAGGTGAAGCTGGCAGAAGCAGACATGGAGGTGGTTAAGACTGAAGAAACAGGATCCGTGGGACGGAAACGTCGACGGTGTGACACCGACAAGGCCATGTCGGATGAGCTTTTCAGTGCCAAAATGATGAATGAGGAAACAGCAGCAAAGAAGGAGCGCCATGCACTCGTGTCATCTGCGTTGAAAGTTGCACGGGCGGTATTGGAACGTGAAGAGAAAAAACTAGTTCACACACATCTAACCCTTTATGAGTTGGCTCTTTTACGGCAAGCTGCGATGGAAGGGTACGACTCCCTAGAGACAGGTGTCTCCACGTCTGCCTGCACACCCTGGGCGAGTGACGAGGCACTGCAGGAGGATTGGATGGATGAGGATGAGGTGGGGACGGGAATTTATAATGGCGTGGGAAGTGGACTTGTCGCGGCGGCGGTGGAGAGTGTGATGGCCATTGACAGAGGGTCGTGTTGATCAACGGTGGTGGTGGTGCTGGTGGTGTGCTTATGAAATGCGGGAGAGAAGGCGGAAACACGCAAACACACACACACACACACACACACACACACACACACAACAGTATGGGAGAGTGAGAAACAGACAGGATGCACGTGTGGCTGGTTGGAGGGAATACCGACATCTGCTTTTTTTTTTTTTTGTTTGTTGTTGTGCTCTTGTTGCTGGTTTGTTTGCCCCCATCCCTTGAAAGGGTAATTTCACGTTAGATGAGATTCCTTGACTTTTATGTTTTTTCTGTTGGGATATTCTCTTTTTTTTTTCTTTTTTTGTTTGTTTGTTTGATGAAAATTAGGAGTCTTACGTTAATTGTAATACCCATTTATTCAATCTTTAGACGTCAATATCTGCTTTTTGCGTTGGGAAGAGAGGAACTTTAAAAGATTCCATCAATTAACAGCAAGCGGCCAAAGAGTAATAAAGAAAGAAAAGGGGATAAATTAGTAAATATATAAATATACACTTATTGTCACGGTGGGAGATGCTTCGCTCGCCGCAGCCGCGCTTTCCACAGCACGTTCCTGGTGCTTATCCACCTCAGCAGCAGCAGCAGATGCCGCCGCAGCCCCAAAGTCAACCACAGATGCCGATGAACGCACAGCCACCGGCACAAGCGATTCAACAGCAGCTGGAACATCAGGATGTGGTTCACGATACACAGTTTGATTACTACGGGCAGCTTCTTGCGACTGCAAGTTCAGATCGCACTATAGGCATCCACGTCGTTCAAAATGGTCAGTTGCAGCGTATTGCCACACTTACAGGCCACGAGGGACCGGTGTGGATGGTAAGTTGGGCACATCCTCGTTTTGGCATGGCTCTCGCTTCTGCAGGCTACGATCATAAGGCAATTATATGGAAAGAGATGTCTCAGTCTTCGAAACAGTGGGCTCCGGTACATGTTATTGACTGCCATCACGGCAGCGTGAACGCTGTGCAATGGGCTCCAGAAACCCCAATGGTAGCGACAGCCAGCAGCGATGGAACTGTGGCGGTGACCGTGTTTGAGGGTGGCGTTTGGCGTGACAGCCTAAAGCTCAGCAACAATAGCAACAACATTGCTCATGCAATGGGGGCGACGAGCGTTTCCTTCGCACCCATGCGTCCATCGCTGGGCGGTGCCGTTTTGTTGGCGTCTGGGGGTTGTGATTCGCAGGTGCGCTTGTGGTGTCTGCAGGAAGGAAGTCCAATGGCAAATTCATTTGAACTGTTGGAAGTTTTGGAGGGCCATACGGATTGGGTACGTGATGTGGCATTTGCCCCTCTGTGTGCTGCAACCAGACACGCGGTTCTCGCCTCTTGTGGACAAGACAAAAGTGTTATCATTCACCG